AGTACACGGTCAATTTTTGTGTAGGTGCCATATACCACTGAGAAAAAGTATATTCCTTTCTATCCCCACTCAATTTTCTCCAGAAGCCTACCATATCTAACTTTTCTAACATTCTACTCACCTCCTTAACTTCTTTCTTGTTTATTTTGTGGTTAGATGTATCTAGTTCAGAGAGGGGATGGATAGGGGCAGCTAGGTGGGGCAGTGGATAGACCACTGGCTCTGGATTCAGGAGGACCTCAGTTCAAATCCGACCTCAGACACATAACACTTACTAGCTGTGTGATCCTGGGCAAGTCACTTAATCCCATTGCCTAACCAAAAAACAAACAAACAGAGAGGGGATGGTTGAGGTCCCCCGCTAGTATAGTTTTGCTGTCTATTTCTTCCTGTAATTCCCTGAACTTCTCCTCTAAGAATCTGGATGCTATACCACTTGGTGCATATATATTTGGTAATTATATTACTTCATTGTCTATGGCGTCTAGGATACAGTTTCCTTCCTTATCTTTGATAAGATCTATTTTGGCTTTTGCTTTGTCCAAGATCAGGACTGCTACCCTTGCTTTTTTTACTTCAGCTGAAGCATAATATATTCTACTTCAGCCTTTTACCTTTACCCCGTGGGTATCACTCTGTTTCAAATGCGTTTCTTGTAAACAACATATTGTAGGATTATGATTTTTAATCCATTCTGCTCTCTGCTTCCATTTTATGGAAGAGTTCATTCCTTTCACATTCACAGTTATGATTACTATCTGTGTCTTCCTCTCCATTCTTTTTCCCCCTCCACCATTTATGCTTTTCTTTTTCCTTTTCTCCCTTTCCTTCCTCACTAGAGTTTTGCTTTTGACTACTACCTCCCTCAATCTGCCCCCCTTCTATTCGCACACTCCTTTTTCTTTCCCTTTTTCCTTACTACTTCTTCCCTCTCTTCTATTCCCCTTTCCCTTTTCTTTCCCCTTTCCCCTCCTACTGCCTATATGGCAAGTTAGTTAGATTTCTATACCTGAGAATGTTATTCCCTTCTTAAGCCAAATCCAATGACAGTAAAGCTCAAACAATGCTCATCTCCCTCCTTTCTTTCTCTCTACTGTAAAATGTCTTGGTGCTTCTTCATGTGATGTAATTTACCCTTTTCTGCCTCCTCCTTTCTTCTTCTCCCATTACAGTTCCTTTTTACCACTTCATTACGGTTTTTTCAAAGTCAACTTAAACTCACCACCTCTGTCTATGTATATCCCTTCTAAGTGTCATAATAAAGATAGTTCTCAGAGTTATAAAGTATCATATTCCCATGTAGGGATGTACATAGTTTACCCTTATTGAATAACATGTTTTGTTTTGTTTTCCCCTTTCCTGTTTACCTTTTTATGACTCTCTTGAGTCTTGTATTTGAAGATTAGATTTTCCGTTGAGCTCTGGTCTTTTCACTAGGAAAGTCTGGAAGTTCCCTATTTCACTGAATATCTATCTTCTTCCCTGAAAGATTATTTTCAATTTTGCTGAGTAGTTGATCTCTGGTTGTAATCCAAGCTCCTCTGCCTTACAGAATATCATATTCCAAGACCTCTGATCTTCTAATGTAGAAGATGCAAGGTTCTGTAATACTGACTGTGGTTCCACAATATTTGAACTGTTTCTTTCTGGCTGTTGGCAGGATTTTCAACTTGACTTGATAATTCTGGAATTAGGCTACAATAATCCTTGCCATTTTCAATTTGGGATCTCTTTCAGGAAGTGAGTGGTGGATTCTTCCAATGACTATTATACCCTCTGGTTCTAGGGCCTCAGGGCAGTTTTCCTTGAGTATTTCTTGAAAGATGCTGTCCAGGCTCTTTTTTTTCAATTATGGCTTTCAGATAGACCAATAATTCTTAAATTGTCTCTGCTGGCCAAGTGTTTTTCCAATGAGGTATTTTATATTTTCTTCTGTTTACCAATCTTTTTATCTCGTCTGACTGATTCTTGATGTCCTATAGAGTCATTAGCTTCCAATTGCCCAATTCTAATTTTTAATGAATTGTTTTCTTCAGTTAGTTTTTGTACCTCCTTTTCCATTTGGCCAATTTTACTTTTTAGGGAGTTCTCTTCAGTGAGGAGTTTTTGTGCCTCCTTTTCCATTTAGCCAATTCTACTTTTTAAGGAATTGTTTTCTTCAGTGTACTTTTTCCCCCCATTTTGTCAACTCTATTTTTAAAGGAATCGTTCAATTTCTCTTCCACCTCTCTTATTTGACTTTTAAAATCCTTCTTCAGCTCTTCCAAGAGGCTTTCTGGGCTTGAGACCAGTTCATATTTCCCTCTGAGGTTTCATATGTGGGTATATTGACAATGCTGTCCTCTCCCAAATTTGTGTTTTGATATTCCCTATCACCAAGATACTTCTCTATAGTCGTTTTTCTATGTTGCTTTTTGCTCATGTTGTTTGCCTTTTTTCTGGCTTTTAAAGTTGATCTCTATTCTGGAGCACAAGGGGCACTGTCGTAGGCTTCTTGTGCTGGAGGTTACAGGCCTGGTTACTGGTTTGCTGAGGTGGGTCTTGCCACTGGCTTGCTGAGACACTTCCCTTCCTGTACTGGTCCCCTTCAGCCACAGCAAGAGGGACCTTTCCCTTTAATCCCCTTAGCCTCCCAAGCTAAAAGACTGTTACACCTCGTTTTTCTGCTGGCTCCACTATTTTGGGATTTTTTCTTGAGCAATATTCTCTGGGCTTTTCAAGGTTAATAAGAGAGTGAGAGCAACTTACTGCTTATTCCGCCATCTTGGCTCCCAGAAGTTGAAATAGGTAACTTACAAACATTCAGTCTGTGAGCTTATAATAACTCCAGGAGCAGTGCTACCACTACTGCCAATTCAGTCACTCCCAAGGCCTGCTCCTGGTTTGCCTGGTTGTACTGGCATGCCCTGCAGCCCAATGCTGAACTATGCTTCTCTCTCATCTACTTCCAACAGACCCCTCCCACTGACCTTCTAAGTTGTCTCTGGCGTCTGTGGGCTGAGAAGACTGGAAACCAGCACTGCTGCCAATGATTCAGTCCCCCAAAGCCTCCTCCAGCTTTGCGGGGGCTGGGCACTGGGCGCTCCTCTCTCAGGCCGGTGCAATAGACCTTTCCTGATGACCTTCCAGGTTGTTGTGGGCTGGAAATCTGCCTCCTTCTGTCTCTTTGTGGGTTATGCCACTCTAGAATTTGTTCAAAGTCACTTTTTAGAGACATTTGAAAGGGTTCGGGGGAGAGCTCAGGACAGTCCCTGCTTTCATTCCATCTTGGCTTCCAGATAATATTAATATGTGGTTTACTGAATCAATATTTACAAATTTAGAAAACTTAACAGTGGCTGCTGGATGAAAAAAATTAGTTTATGTTCCAATCCTAAAGAAGGACAATGCCAAAGAATGTTCAAATTACTAAACAATTGTACTCATTTCACACATCAGCAGACTTATGCTTAAGACTGTACAAGCTAGGCCTCAGCAATATGTGAACCATGAATTATTAGAAGTGCAGAATGTTTTTTTGAAGAGGCAAAGGAACTAGAGACCAAATTGCTAACATTCGCTGGATTATGGACAAAGCAAGGGAGTTGCAGAAACATTCACTTCTGCTTCACTGACTACACTAAAGCCTTTGACTGTGTGGATCACAACAAAATGTGGCAGGTTCTCAGAGGGATTTTGAGATCATCTTACTTGTCTCCTGAGGAAACTGTATGCAGGCCAAGAAGCAACAGTTTAGAACTGAACATGGAACAATTGATTAATTTAAGACTGGAAATGCAGGATGACAAAGCTGTATACAAAGAGTACACAAAGATGTATACATCTTATTTATTTAGTTTATATGTGAGTACATCAAGCAAAATGTCAGATTGACAAATCAAAAGCCAGAATTAAGGTTTCCAGAAGAAATATCAGTAATCACAGATATGCAGATGATACCACTCCAATGGAAGAAAGTGAAGAAGAATTAAGAAGCCTCTTGATGAGGGTCAAAGTGAAGAGTGTAAAAAGCTGGTTTGAAGCTTAACATCAGAAAAAAAACAAAACAAAACAAAAAAACAACGAAGATCATAGCATTTGGTCCCATCACTTCCTACCAAACAGAAAGCGAAGAAATGGAAGCAGTGTCCAATTTCATATTCTTGGGCTCAAAGATCACTGCAGACAAGTACAGCCATGAAATTAAAAGGCATTTGCTCCCTGGTAGGAAAGCTATGGCAAATCTGGCAGCATACTAAAAAGCAGAGATATCACCTTGTTGACAAAGGTCCCTATAGTCAAAGCTACAGTTTTTCTAGTAGCAATGCTGTAAGAGTTGGATTATAAGGAAAGCTGAGCTCTGCAGAATCAGAGCTTTCAAACTGTGGTGCTAGAGAAGACTTTGAGGAGTCCCTTGAACAAGCAAGGAGATCAAACATTTCAAAATTTAAAGAAATTCAACTCAGACTATTCACTGGAAGGACAAATACTAAAGCTGAAGCTTAAATACTGTGGCCACATAATGAGAAGACAGGACTCACTGGAAAAGACCCTGACGTTGGGAAAGATTGAAGGCAAAAGGAGAAGAGGATAAGATGGGTAGTGTCATGGAAGCAACAAACACAAGGTTGGACAGACTTAGGGAGATACTAGAGGACAGAATGGGCTGGTGTGCTATGGTCCACAGGGTAATAAAGAGTAGGATATGACTGAACAATAAAAATAAGTCAATATGCAGCCATAGGGATCCTTATTATTTCTATTTGACACAACTGCTCTAAGGCATGCTAATTTGTGTTCTACTCTTATGCTCTATTACGCTGTACTCTTGAAAAGGGTCTATGGTTTGGGATAATACTGGACTTTGAATTTAAATGTAATTCCATGTTTTGAAGTAAATGTGTTCAGCCATGATGCACACAAAAAATGAATAAATATCTTTAGCAATTAAGATCAAAATGCAAACTTGTATTCAAATATGCAAGCTATTAAAATAATAAGCTATTTAAAGCTATACTTACAGTCTTTCCAGAAGACTTAACCCAGAAAATGAACCATTCTTCAACTCTGATATTTTATTGTTGCTCAGAATCCTAAAAATAAGAGGAAAAAATCAAATACTAATATAAACACACACACACACACACACACACACACACACACACACACAGAGAGACACCCTGTTTCAAGACAATTTGAATCTTGTCACTTGAGACCATAAACTTCTATTCAAGTGAGAAAAACAGAATACATGCAAGGGAAGTATCTTTACAATACTTATAAAGAAAGTACAAGATAACAATAGAAACTATGTAGTAGTTTAGAAGGGATGCTAAGTGAAAAAGTAATCAAACGGTACTGAGAAATGTCATAACCTAAAATTGTTACATAGCATAGGTAAGAATTATCTTAAAAAGCAATTACACATGTCAGTTCAATAATCCATATAAGTTCATCTTCTCTTAAAGGAGACTTTCTAAAAGTCTCCCTCTTTTTCTGTAACATACCCTCCAGCATCCAATTCAACTTATACAAAATTGCCCTGTAAAATCAAAACCTGACCAGAGAAATGAACAATTTTGTGTTCTTGAAGGAACTACTGAAAAAGCATTTCAAAAGTGTTTACTATGTGCCAAGCACTGTCCACACAAATAGAAAAAGCCAGATAGTTTCTGCTCTCAAGGAGCTGACGGTCTAATTAGGGGAGACAGTATATAAGTAAGTTATCTAGCCTTTATATATTTATATAGTGTTTTAAGATTTGCAAAATGCTTTATATATTATCTTATTTGATCTTCACATCTTTTTTTCAAACATATGAGCAACCTGTGGCTGAAAGATTTTAAGACTTTCTCAAGAGCACATGGCTATTAAGCATCTGAGACAGGATTTGAATTCTGGTCTTCTTGACTCCAAATGTGGTGCGCTATCTACTACACCACCGGGATTATGACAGTTGAGCTGCAGGATAAACAGTAAGGTCCAAAAGTTCCAACTAAGGAGCAGGATAGATGAGAAGGCTCAAAGGACTTTAAGGTACATCAAGAGATCAGATGACAGTGCCTGTGGGTCTGTAGAACATAGCAACAAGGACAAATGCCAAGGCCCCGGGGACCTTAGGACACAGTGCAAAGGCCTGGTGGTCTTCTATTTCACCAAAAATAATCCTAGCTGTTAACTCCCAACTCATCCAAATGATGCGGACAGCCACGTTCCTGTTTCCAAACGGCTGCCCCACTGGGTTTGTTACCTGGATAAGGAGGAAGAACAAAGAGAAGAGAAAGGAAGGGCCCCCCATTCATTGCTAGCTGAAGGGCAAGCAATCTGCATATAATTTAGAATCTTTGAATAATGATTTTAAAAAGATATTTTTAAAAAAGGATACAACCTACCATATATAATCTAGCATCATTTTACTTTGTTTTATTACTATGTAGTCATGTTCATTTCCTTCCTTCCTTTCTTTCTTTCTTTCTTTCTTTCTTTCTTTCTTTCTTTCTTCTTTTTTTTTTAAGGCAATTGGGGTTAAGTGATTTGTCCAGGGTCACACAGTTAGTAAGTATCAAGTATTTGGTCTGAGGCCAGATTTGAACTCAGGTCCTCTTGACTTCAGGGCCGATGATCTATCCACTTCGCCACCTAACTGCCCCCATTTCCTTTCTTAAAATGAATTTTAATACCAACAAGTTTAGCAAGAGATTTGAGTATAATAGATATATAGGACTGGAAAGGCCTGGATTAATTTCTGCCTCTGAAATATACTGCCACAATGATCATGGTCTTAGTGTCTCAGTTCCCCAGACAAGTATAAAACTAAAGTAGAACTGCAGCTCTGGGAAGAGCTTTTTCCACGGTCGGGATTCCTCATACCAATGAATCACAGTGCCAAATACCTCTCCCTCCCACCAAAAAAGGAGCCAATCAAGATTTAAATTTTCCAAATTTTTATACAGCTCAGAAATAGATAACAACAACATACAACTACTATGACTTCTGATAAATGAAAAATGTACAAGTCAAAATTGTTAAGAAATAATAGCTCAATGGAAAAATATACTTGTCACATCTATGGATAAGGGAGAAGTTCATGACCAAACAAGAGTTAGAGAAAATCACAGGAAGTAAAGTGGATGATTTTGATTACATGAAATTAAAAAGGTTTTCCACAAATGAAACCAATGCAGCCAAAATTAGAAAGCAGGAAACTGGGTCAAAAATGTTGAAAACAAGTTTCTCTGATAAAGGCCTCATTTCTCAAAGTTATAGGGAATTCAGCCAAATATAAAAAATTAAGAGCCATTCCCCAATTGATAAACGGTCAAAGGATATGAACAGGCTGTTTTCAGAAGAAATAAAAGCTATCAATAGTCACAAAAATGCTATAAATCACTACTGCTTCAAGAAATGCAAATTAAAACAACTCTAAGGTACCACCTCATACCTATCAGACTGGCTAACATGACAGAAAAGGAAAATGACAAATGCTAGAGGGGATGTGGAAAAATAGGCATACTAATATGCTATTGGTGGAGATGCAAACTAGTCTAACCCTTCTGAAGAACAATTCAGAACTATACCCAAAGGGCAATAAAATCATGCAATACCCTTTGACCCAGCAATACCATTACTAGGTCTGTATCCCAGAGAGAACAAAGGAAAAAGGACCTATATGTACAAAAATATTTCTAGTGGCTCTATCTGTGGTGGCAAAAATTTGGAAATCAAGGAAATGCCCATCAACTGGCTAATGGCTGAAGAAGTTGTGACATATGACTATGACGGAATACTATTGTTATAAGAAATAACAAGGATTATGGCTTCAGAAAAAAGCTGGGAAGACTTATATAAACTCAGGCAAAGTGAAGTGAGCAGAACCATGCAAATATTACACACAGTAACAGCAATATTGTAACAATGTTCAACTGTGAAAGATTTAACTACTCTGATTAATACAATGGTCCAAGACAATTCCAAAGGACCCATGATGAAAAATACTATCCACCCCCAGAAAGAAAATTGATGAATTCTGAATGCAGATTGAAGTATACTTTTTTTCACTTTCTTTATGCTTCTTGTTATTTATTACTGTTCTTGCTGCTGTTGTTTTTGCATCATGGCTAATATGGAAATACATTTTGCATGACTTCACTTGTATAACTGATAACATATTGCTTGCCTTCTCAATGGGTAGGGGAAGGGTGGGGAGGAGGAAAAGAACTTGAAACTCAAAAAAAAAAATTAAATGAATGTTAAAAAGAAATTAATCTTTTTAAATAGCTTAAGGGGAATCTTAGAGACCAACTAATCCAAGCACCTCATTTAGCAGATGAAGAAAGACACAGAAAGTAACTTGCCCAAGGTAATTTGAATCTAGGTTCCCAATTCCAAACTTAATCCTTATTCTGGGGTTTTGCTCAGTATATAATAATAAGCACCAAAAGATAATTATCTCTTTTTTAGTAAATAAAATAAACAACCTTTAAATACATATATACATTCATACACACACACACACATACACACAAATCCAAAGTACAAAAAAGTAGCTACAAATAAACACAATTAAAAAGTTTGGTTCCATTAGTATCCTGACATTAGCAAAGCATGAAAACCAAATGAAGAAATATTTTCTAAAAAGCTATTTATAATGTAGCTATTTCTCTGGAGGATGGCAAATGACTTATATTTACCCTGACTTAGTATTACTTCAGCAAAAAGAATGTCAGTTGCTCAGTCATAAAGGTTTAGTACGATAAATGATAGATTTTATTGAAGATAGTAAAAAGTAAGATATGTCATCACACTTAAAAATGTTATAGATGTAACCTTAAAAATACAGTTTACAACCTCATGTTAATATATTCAGTCTATACATTACTTGATATGTTAAAGGATGTTGTACAAGAAAACAGGATTGGCATAAATAAATCTATCTAGAAGATAGATTTTATACCCTATTCTGAAACTCAAAGCCCATGAAACTAGGAAATGCATAATATTGTGTATCATTATAAGCCTAAAAACTATTTGTAATCAATATTTTTGCTGACATTTGAAAATTTCAAACTTCCTAGAAGGTAACTAAATGAGAAAATATAAAACTTGCACTAAAGTTACAAAATTCACACATACCCACTTCTGTTCTTCACTAATGATATTAACACTCTGTGATCTACAGAGAATGTTAGCACTATTCTGGCTCACTGCTTTTGAATTCAAAACATCATGAGGAAGAATTTGGTGCCCCCCTACTGAACTAACACAGTATTGAATGAGTTCAGTTCTTGAATGGCTGAATCATTTTATACCAAAGCCATGAAAAATGAATGACTTTTAAAAAATGTATAATTAGTCAAAAGCATTAAACAAATTAAAGGGTATTCAACGTACTTATAATCTCCTACATAGAGGTGGGCATTATATTTCCTTTTTCATGAAGAATAAAGTTTCAAAAAGTGGTTATTCCAACATCACCGCATGGATAGCATCAAATAAAAGCCAGTTTATGGGACAGATGTCAATTTGCTACCCCAGGCAGATTTTATCAGTTCTTCCAAAACATAACTAACCTTTCCTAATATACTGGTCTATTAGCTACATGATGACAAGTCAAAGTGAATCTAACAATATATGGGAAAAAGTGTTTTATACTCTGGAGTTCACATCTGAAGAGACTTAAGGAAATTGAGTCCATTAAGTACACAAAGCATGCCATTATACTGAGGGAAAAAAAATTACAGGAGACATTATACCTTAGTATTTCATTTTAAATCCTACGCAAAAGAATCTTTTCTTGCACATTTTGCCTGGGAAATAATAGTAAGTTAAGTCAAGTAGGTAATGGAAGAGCAACACACAACATGTGGTGTGACTACTTGTTCTCCATGTAATTATTCTATCAAAGGATAGATCTTCACAATTTTCAGTTTGCAAAGTATAATTCAAATATAAGAATTTGTTTTTATTTATTTTATTCTTTTTCAATAACATGAAAACTGAAATACAGAGAATAAGTTATCTGTCCAAAATCATGGAATGAGCCAGTGTCAGTAGGATGATTATTTATATTGCCCTAAATTTATGACTCCTAATC